TCGAATGAAAGACCCGTTACTGTAGAAAAATTCTATGTAGTACGTGAAACAAGAGCCCTTCTAAGCTTCAATACTGCTATCAGATATAGTTTGTTATCAGTAGGACTAGATGTACCAGTGGAAGGATTTTCGGATACAGCCTGGCGATGTGAATTTGTTACCGTACACAGCATTCAAGAAACACAATTACAAGAGTTTCCAAAGTTCAACATACCACCAGTAACATTGAGCTATGATGTTTCGATGCCACCTTCAAGAAACGTTTATACGCACATTCCAGCTGCATTTAAGGAGTTGACAAAGCAAAAGCTATTTGAGTTACGTGAATCTGGAATAATCGAAAAAGTGACGATGTATATGGACAAAAGTTTTTGTTCTTCCTTATTAGTGATTCCTAAAGGAAAATCGGACATTCGACTTGTCGTCGATCTACGAGGACCCAATAAATGTATTCACAGAACTCCATTCAAGATGCCAACATTCGAATCCATATTACTGGAGCTACATGGAGCAAAGTATTTTTCCACGATCGACTTAACTAGCGCTTTTTTTCATATTGAACTAGATGAAAAATCAAGGCATCTGACGAATTTTTTCGCTGGTGAGGCGCTCTACAGATGCTGTCGGTTGCCTTTCGGATTAACAAATGCACCTGATATATTCCAAGAGGTTATGCAAACCGTAATACTTACAGAATGTGAAGGCACTGTAAATTACCTAGATGACATCTTGGTTTTTGGACGAACACAGGAAGAACACGATCAAAATCTACAAAAAGTCCTCAACAAACTGGAAGAACATAACGTCAAAATAAACCAAGAAAAATGCACTTTTGGACAGCGGGAAGTAAAATTCTTGGGCTTCAAGCTGTCAGCTAATGGATGGCAAGTCGAAGATGAGAAAATCGGAGCAATAAAAAATGCGCGACCACCAGAATCACAAGCAGAGGCAAAAAGTTTTCTAGGTTTAATAACATTTATTGAACGATTCATTCCTCAACGAGCAGACAAAACCCGTTATTTGCGAGAGTTGGCAAATGCAACTAATTTTTACTGGAATCAGGATTTGGAGGACGAGTTTAACCACTTAAAAGATACGGCGTGGAATCTCATAAAAACTTTGGGATACTTCTGCCGTGATGATGAAACGGAGTTATTCGTGGATGCTTCACCACAGGGACTAGGAGCAATGTTGGTTCAGTATGACGCTTGTTCCAAACCTCGAATAATTGCATGTGCATCTAAGGCTTTGACACTTTCTGAAAAGAAATACCCCCATACTCAAAAGGAAGCGCTGGCAATGGTATGGGCCGTTGAACGTTTTTCAGTGTACCTTTTGAGCATAACCTTTACAATACGCACGGATGCGGAATCAAACGAATTCATTTTTGGTGGACAACACAGGATAGGCAAGAGAGCAGTATCACGAGCTGAAGCATGGGCACTACGACTGCAACCATATAATTTCAAGGTATATGAGAAACTATTGCCGATTGATTTACATTAATTGTTTTTTTTGGTGCACAGGTAACTCGAGTATCAGGAGAGATGAACGTTGCTGATGCATTATCCCGATTAGTTACGGAATCGCAATCACTTCAACCATTCGATGAGTCTGCTGAAAAACATCTTTTGTACTTTTTGGATACCGGCTCGATTGAATTCACGTGGGAAGATATCGAGATTGAAGCGGAAAAAGATGATGAGCTATTACAAGTGTGTGAAGCAATTAAAACTGGTCACTGGGGTAAAGATTTGAGACGATACGAATCTGAAGCGAAACATCTAAGAGCACTAGGAGCTTTAGTTTTTACGAAAGATCGAGTGATATTACCTTACGCGCTGCGGAACAGAGCACTCAGCTCAGCTCATAAAGGACATATGGGTGCAGCTTCCATGAAAAAGATTTTGAGGACTTATTTCTGGTGGCCCGGAATGGCAAAGCAAGTAGAAATATTCGTCAAAGGCTGTGAAACTTGCTTTCGGCTCTCGAAGAAAAATCCTCCTATTCCTCTAACCAGCCGTGAATTACCGGAAGGACCTTGGGAAATTCTTCAGATTGATTTCTTTTCGTTCAAAGGCTGTGGATCGGGAGAATTTCTGGTTATTGTTGATACCTACTCACGATACCTACATGTAATTGAAATGCGAAACACAGATGCCGGCAGTACCAACGAGGCGCTGAACAGAATCTTCGAGGTATGGGGATACCCCCTTGCAATTCATAGTGATAACGGTCCACCGTTTCAAGGAGACAAATTCATCAAAACATGGGAGGACAGAGGTGTCAAAATTCGTAAATCAATTCCTCTAAGCGCCCAATCCAATGGAGCTGTGGAACGCCAAAATAAAGGGTTGAAAGACGCTTTAACAGCTGCGAGACTTGACAACATTAATTGGAAATTGGCTTTGGAAAAGTATTTGCATATGCATAATAAAGTTCGTCCCCTCTCACGACTTGGTGTCACGCCATTTGAACTACTTGTCGGCTGGAGATTTAGAGGAACTTTCCCGTTTCTTTGGGAAACACTAGCTTCGGATCAAGTCGATCGTACAGACATACGTGAAAAAGATGCTGCATCTAAGCTTGAAAGCAAAAGATATACTGATTCTGTCAGAGGAGCAAAGGACTCTGAAGTTACTGTTGGAGATAAGGTGGTTTTGACTCAAAATATAAGGCAAAAAGGTGACCCTACGTTTTCAGAAGATCGCTTTACGGTTTTGGCCAGAGACGGTGCAAAAGTGATTGTCCAAAGTGACAGAGGGGTACAATATTCCAGAAACGTCCAGGATGTGAAGAAAGTTCCTATACTGCTTCAAGGTGATCGGGATCAAGATAATACGGACTCAATGATTGCAAGTGAGTATTCGCCAGCAGCTCAACTCCCGGAGCTGATCACAGAAGAATTACGTAGGGGTAGTGATGTCGTGGATAGACCCAAACGAACGGCGAAGAAACCTTCTCGTTTCAATGACATGGTTTTATATTGCATATTTGATTAAAGAGTACAGAAGCATGGCATTGTAGGGTACGGTTGAATCCAATAATAAAATAAATAAGTCTAAAACTATTGAATTACAAATTCATCATTCGATTAATAAAAGAAAAAGGGAAAGAAGCTGTTCTATATCACTGAGAATATTTTCTCCTCTGATAGATTGCCAGTACGGTTCTATAACACTGGGAAGTTGCTCTCCTCTGATTGGTTGGAAGTACAGATCGTTTAGGTATTTAAGCGATATTCGTTGCTCGAGTCAATCATTCTATTCTCGGACGCCGAACTGAGCGCACCTCGCAGAGCTACCCATAGCAGAGCGCACCCCGCAGAGCTAATCCTAGCAGAGCGCACCCCGCAGAGCTAACCCTAGCAGAGCGCACCCCGCAGAGCTAACCCTAGCAGAGCGCACCCCGCAGAGCTAACCCTAGCAGAGCGCACCCCGCAGAGCTAACCCTAGCAGAGAACCACAAACCAGCCGATACCAGTCATGGAATCTGGCAGATCGATGCCAAATCACGACAGGGATGTGTTCATAATTTATTATATAAATAATGCTCATGTTTAAAGTTTGCCACACAAGTGTATCCGCGGCATTACACTGACCAGCAGACGATCACTTTTGTAAGCCGTAAACTCGCTGATTCACGGTAACGTCGACCACCGAAAAAAACATTGTGTCACATAAGAAACCAATGCAATGACCATGAGCTGCTGAAGGAATATTAACGATAAGTTATAGGAAGCTACTGATAGACCTTATCTTATGTTTCAGACAACATTTTTGACATTTTGAGCTAGTCTAACATTTTTCGAATATTCGCACTAGAGAAAAATATTTTTTTAGACTAAAATAAAATGGACAGTTCAAGTAAGCTTCAAGCATTAAGCCTGCAGCAGATTTTATGTAAAATATGTTAAATAAGATGATTCTTAAGCGAGTGGTCATATAGCCAAATTATGTTCGGAGCGGTAAGTTTCCCGTTAAGACGCATCCTGGCGCACCTATTGATAAAAAACGAGTTTTTTCAATACCTTATTTTGTTCAGTAATGTAAATCGTTTTTTTTTTCTTTGATTTGTTTTCCGTCGATCTTGTTTTTCGTGCTGAGCACCAATGCTACCGACGCCAGAGAGGCAGCTCCCACACCTGGACCCTACCTATCGACCCATCAACTCATGAACCGGGGACCAACGGCTTTACTTCCCTTCCGAAGGAAGGCGTGATCAGAGATGCTATGCCTCAGAAAATCCCGGCGGCGCCGACTGGGATTGAACCCAGGCCTGCTGGGGTGAGAGGTAATCACGCTTACCACTACACCACCGGCGCCGCTATGTACATCGTTAATGAGCATTTCTAGATAGAGCTGGAATTAGGGCGTAACAGCTTTTGTAAACAATGACTTCTCTCGAGAATTTCTATAAATTCAAGACACGCCCACGCAAACCAACATAACCGTTGGATAGAGGAAGTCTTCCCCTACGCGATGGTGATGTTGATTTGCATTGGGGAGCTTTGATTTTCTAGAAATCATCGGAATAAGTCATTGTTTACAAAAGCTGTTACGCCCTAATTCCAGCTCTATCTAGATTTATTTTAATTTCTGGTGATGTGTTCCTGCGTACATAAACCTATCTAATATTGATGTTCTTCATTTGCTAAAAATTCTATACACGACGAAAGTGTATCCAAATCAATTCTTATTTTGTATAAAACATGATTATGGTCATCTTTATTATATAGATTTTCAGTCGTATGCTGGTTCATGTTTTTTTTTGTATAAAACAAAATGAAATGATTATGTTTGTTGTTTGTCCAGTCCAAATTCTGTGCTAAAGTTTTAAGTTACTTAAACGTATATATTTACGACGCTTCATGCTTAAGGTTCAGATTGTTCAAAGGTCACGGGGCAACCTTAAAGTGCTAAGGGCCTGTGAATATACGTAGTACATAACCTAAGGTGGATGTACCGATAGTTGGGAATATTGTTGTAAGTAGTTAAACTAAATTGTGACTGTAGAAACGTATCTCAACTATCAGGGAACTCACTCATTTCTTGTTTTCGCGCAATCATCATTATTGCCGTTTATTTATTTATTTGCGATGCTTCAATCCTATGGCACTTATATACCTAATCGCCTTCATTTTCTCTCTCAGCATTAGAATCGCTCTCCAAGCGGCTTGATGGTAAGCTCTTTGATCTGTAAATAACAACAAAACGTGATTAGTGATTGACAGAGTAGTGATTATATTCTCGAACTAATGTTCGCTAACCTCAACGTGCTTTGGAGTAGAAATCACATGCACTACGCTATTTGCAATGTCATCGGGTTCCAGAAATGGTATTGGCTTCTTCAATAAGTCTGGATCATTAAATATATCCGTCCGTACAGCTCCAGGACTAATGCTCTAAATTAAAAAAAATATTCAAGTTTTATTTAGAGCGCTACATACCAATCGACTATTAAATTTTATTTTTTATTTGTACCGTCAATTTAACTCTGCTGTTTTCATTCAACAACTCAATGCGGAATGTTTCAGTAAGTGCTGTTACTGCATGTTTTGTTGCCGGGTAGACGTTGTATGTGGTCAAAGTACCAACTCCGACCGGGACTCCATGACCTACTACACTATTCATGTTAACAATATGACCATCAACGTTTCGTCTCTTCATTGATTGATAAGCTTCCCGTGCACATACGATCAAACCTATAATGTTCGTTTCAACAACATCGCGGATAATCTGAGTATTACCGGGTTCGATGAGTAGTGCCGTTTTAAGCACCCCCGCATTATTCACCAGCACATCTGCGCCACCAAGTTTATCATCTATCCACTTGAAGGCCGATACTATTTCCTTTTCATTACTAACATCACACTTACAAGCATGGAATCTTCCTTTCAAATTTTCGGCAAGCGTTGATTTGAGTTCTTCCATTCTATCAACACGTCTTGCCATGCCAACCACAATCATTCCAGATTGAAGAAGTCCTTTAGCTATGGCCCATCCTATACCAGCACTAGCTCCGGTTACTGCAGCCACACGGTTCTGCCAACGATCCATTACTACTGGGTAAATTACACTTCGCCACAACTACAGTCTTGGTAATGACGCATAGCTATCGAAGTGCAACTAATTTATAGTTGAATTCCTTATCATTGTTTTTAATAGCCGTTAAATATAGCGCTACTGATTAGAACAATACCAATGCAGCAAAGAGCACTGATATAAATCAGTTGTTGGTCAAGTAGCATCACTGGCAGTATTATCTCATTAATCATTTAAGCTAAAAGTTTTGATGACGATGGTCTCACACCGCTTACCCCTACAAATGTTTGAGCTGGACGATTTATCTTTAAGATAATTAAGTATAACATCTTAAGCAGATCAGCAAACGAAAACAAACTGGTTACAGCTACAGACGTAAGATTCCTCTACAGTTCATAGTTGCTTCACAGCGATATAAATGTGAAAAAGCTTAGGCGTTCACCCTTTTTCCACCTCAAATCTTCATAGCATTCCCAAGCAATCAAGAGTTCATGAATAATCAATAAAGTATCTTATTACACAAGCAACCCCGCAATCTCATGCTATCGTAATTTTCATCAACGTAAGGAATGCTCACAAACCCCCGACATTCAGCCAGAAAACTTACTATTAATTCAAGGCATCTTCCAAATAAGCTTCAACGATCCACTTTTGTTTTCAAATGTTGAATTCAATCCTCCATATCCGTAACGATGCTCAAACTTTTGTAGACTACTCCAAATTACCTTTTTATTTTTGTTAACTACTACTATTAAATCAAATATCCCCTCGCGCTGGTTCATGGCATTGACGGTTCTAATTCAGTTTTAATTCTTTATCATCTTATCTAGGTATTAACTCAATTTTTTTTTTTTTTTTTTTCATTAAAATATTCATATATTTATTCATTTATATTTACATAAAACTATGTTCAACTTCTTCTTCTTGTTCGCATTTCAAGCTTATTGCTTAGCACATATTAGCTTATTGCGTGCTCTCAACTTAGTGTTTTAAATGCACTTCCACAGTTATTAATTGAGAGCTTTCGATGCCAATACCAATGCATGAATTTGTATATTGTGTGGCAAGCACAATGATACTCTATGCCCAGGGCAGTCGAGAAAATTTCCAACCCGAAAGATTCCCTCGACCGGACTGGGAATCGAACCCGCCGCCTCCTGCTTGGTAATACCGTGCCTTTACTGACTAGGCTATGAGGCCCCAAAAACTATGTTCAACTTAATATTGATTGTCATTGTTAGCATATCAGGCATAACATTTGATAACGGCACAAAAGCATTTGTAAACAAACTTTCTAAGGCCCTTTACACGCGAACCAAAGTACACTCACGCAAACCAACAACATCATCGGATAGGAGCAACTATCACCTTTCCAAAAGTGGTATTGGTTTGCGTGGGCGTACTTTGATTCGCGTGTAAAGGGCCTTAGAAAGTTTGTTTACAAATGCTTTTGTGCCGTTATCAAATGTTATGCCTGATATATTCATTAACTTGTTTGCCTGTCTATAGATCTTAATTGTTAAATATTTTTCTTTTTTGTATAACGGCAATCTAGACATATATTTTAGAACGCCTCCAACGTTCATTAAGATGACATGCATGAATGACGTAGAGTATTTTTGGACATGGCTGGTTACCCTAAAATGATACATCATTTATGGATCTTCCTAAATGAGCGGTCGTTGAGAGGTGCATTTTTTTATCATTATTATTTTTATTTTAGCGGTTTATTATTTAATATAAAACAGCAAAACAGGTTATCTTCCATTTAATTCCTCTTAATTAATTTTGGCATCCATGACAGATACGTATTTCGACTACAATGTGCAGTCGATCACAATCATCATCAGGGGTTGAAACAGTTGACGTTTTTTACTACACTCGCTTCGTTGTCGTGAGCGACAGTCTGTTTGTATTCGAACACTCATGCTCTACCGTCGTCTCTCTCACACAACACGAGCGGTAGAATGACATTCGAACTAAAAGAAAATTATCAAAATAGCTATCATATGACATGTGTGATTTCGTTGTAATTCCTCAATTTGGTGTAAATCAAACCATTTCTGATAAGAAATATTGTTACTAGGACATCATTGCTTGCTATTTTCAGAATTCACACAAGCACACCATCAGCAGCTCTTATTATGAGAAAAACTAAAATAAATACATTCGTGACGGTCTTCGGAGACAGTGTCGTATGACAGAGCCTGTCATACGACATTTTAGTTTGGTACTGTACTATTATAGCTTGTTTTGCAAGTGTCGGAGGCAAAGGCAGTCATTTATCACAGAAAATATGTCGACTACCGTGACCGCTTACAAGACTGATCATCATCAGTGTCATTCCCACTAAAAAACTTATCAAAATCTAAACCCCTTAAGTACTCATCCCTAGGTAAAAAAAGTCAAGATCACAGGTATAAAAATGAAACTACAATGTGTTGAATCTGAACCTACCTAACTAATAAAAACCAAAGATTTAAGTAAATTAAAGGAGAAAAATCTATACAACTCTCTAATAAGTTTATTATTATCTCTTTATACTAACAGCTCCTCTCGACGAACTAAGTAGTTTCTTAACAATCCGAATACGATGCCTAAAAAAAAACGTGTAACGGCCAGTTCGCAATGGCATGCCCGGAAAAATTAACCATACAATTGGGTTGTGGGACCATCCTCCGAAAGATCAAAATAATCTACAGACCCTAGGAATTCTAGAAGTACCACAATTTTTGAAATTCATCAAGAAATGGCTAAGCTACCCGACGGTGGTGACGTATTGTACATCTATTGTAATAGTATGTTAAAATTTCGTGTAATTGTATTTTATTTTATGGTAATTGGGTTGTTTAACTTCGAGAAAAATATCTATTTTTATACATCATCTGATAGAGCTTCGTTTTCTGAGCACAACGATATTTTTATCGATCCCGTAGACATTCATCTCGATTCTTAAATCAAGATTTAAATTTTTGATCGTTGACACTAAATCTATTCGTTGACAGCTCACGCCCATACAACGTCCCACCAAGGGTGATGTTTGCTAATGTAATCGTGCTCATTAAAAATAGTTCCAGTGATGAAATTTTGGATTTCGGTTCCATTTTTAATGCAGATAACTTCTTCTTCTTCTTCTTCTTTCTTTTTTGAACCGTCTTCTTGAAAGCTCAAGTGATTTGGGCTAGTGGCTACGACTATATGCCCAAATGCAGATAACGAATATGTATTTATCTCAATACCCCTAAACAACAAAAATTGGCGCTCTTTTTTTATCAAAACAATCACACCAAAATCAGAGATGTCCCATTTTGTAATTACTCGATTAACAACTAATCGATTTGTTTTTGTTCACTGTGCTGTCATTTTTCCACCAATGAGAGTGCAGCACATGTTTGAAACGATGGATGATGATCCTCTGGAGAAGTTAATGCTTATATCGGCATGATATAACCAATTACAAATATTTTACTTTTCAGTTCGTTAATCGATTAATCAACTATTCGAAATGAAAATCGGCCATCACTAGATTAATGTGAAACGTCATTCCAAATATAAGGACCATACATAAATAATGATACAATTTGAAAGGGACCGGGACTAATCACAAATTACGTCCCCACAGTAAACTGAAATAAACACGAGTGCTGACCGGTTGCTTTTATTGTCGGATTCTACTGACACTTTTATCAACAATCAATACGAAACTAACGATTTTAAATTGGCTCACTACTTGAATAGCCTATTTGTCCCAAGCAAATCGATTAACGTACCCCATTCTAGTCGAAATTCTAGTACTACACTATGTTTGTTTTGATTCGCTATGAAAGTTTGACAGATAAAATGAGGGGTTCGTGGATTTTCCTATGTTTCGAGGGGTGCATCGATTAGTTTAGGACCGAAGAGAGTACCAGAGCTGCGGCAAAAAGTTGAGCACGTTTCTTCGGGACCTTCTAGCACAAACGAAGTGACAGACGACTAACTGGCAAAGAAATCAATTAAAATAATGTGGTTCTATGTAATAGAACTTTCTTAAAAGCTTGTGCCATCAGCCACCAGATGGGCTAGTATTTTTTATGTGCAATCAATTGGCGATCTAACGATAGCGCTCGTGGCGAATAGGAGAAATAGAAAAATGATGATGGTCTTAAAATTTTGCACGTTGAGGTATAGGAAAGAAATTTTGAAAAGCATTTATTAACCTCAAAAGCTACAAGGTAGACGTATAATTTCAATTTTTTTTTCTTCTTAGTTTTCGTTTAGATCTTTAGATTTAAACTTTTCTAAGCTCGTATGCACAACCAAATTTATAGAAAATACTTTATTCGTTAAATAAAAGCGTTTTTAAAATATTCTCCCATACCTCGCCGTGCAAAATTATGATACCATCATCATTTTTCTAGTTCTCCTATTTGCCAAAAGTGGCCCTTTAGCTGAAAAACATGGTAGTCTAATCTAGTCTGGGAGTATTGTGGAAAACCCCAAAACTTGATAATTTCACAAATATATAACACAAAACCGAAAAAACACATCGCTGATTTTTTGATATATTATGTAAAAGAGCCTAAATTTTCAAGGAAAAAATATAAACAATATATTGCACCCTCTGTCTACAAACCATGAAAATCATAAAAAAAATACAATCAATGCTTTTCAATACCAAATCCCATTATTTAATATCCTTGTATCTTTCCTAAAAACTATTTTTATTACCTATCATTTGATATTTTGATCCTTGAAATCGGCCCAGTGGCCTATGAATTATAAAAAAAAATTGAAAAAAAATAGATTTGTTGGAAAAACTCTAACATGGTCACCCTAATGACAAAATAAAAAAAAATAAGGAACAAAATGCGATAAGGAACAAATTTTTACGATATTTTGAGAACCACTTTATTGTTTTGCTACATGTGTCTAGTTAAACGTTACTTCACATGAGAATCCAAGCGTATGTAGCATCGCAGTTTAAAGAAGCAAAGATGTCTAATAAACGCTGAATAATCAAATATTTGATCGAATAAGCTCTGTTACAACTCAAGTAAGTCTAATAAAAGCTTCTCGAAACACCTTATACAACAACAAGCAGTTTAATGTAGTGGTTGAATAAATTCTCCAGATTTGTGTGAACAAAGCCTGAACAGAAGTTATTATTTAAAATAGTACAAGTATTATAAAGCATGCAGTTGAATAAAATCGTTAAGAAGTCGTTCTGGGAGGCCGAGAATAATGTATTTTCAAAGAACATGAAGGTGACCCTATAAACAAATTGATATTTAACGATAATGTGAACGAAGTGCGCGGTTAGAATAAAGCTAATAATCGATGCATGTTTTAAGTACCTACCTAACTCTGTACTCATACTTGAACGTTATCACGCTTCTCGATATTTGAATAATAACACACACTTCATCATCGTTGATCACTGTACCGTGCCGCTGTTCTAGTGTTTGCAAATACGTACCTAGCACCTAGCAGCACATTAATATCAAATGTTTGATGACTTATTTGCTTTTTATTCGTTGGTAATGAAGAGAATCTAATGTGTTCGTTCATTGATAGTTCCTACCTAGTTATTCATAAATAAAAGATGACAGATAGTTGATGTGTGGAAATGAATATAAGCCGATTGCGCAAGGTTTCATGATATAGTTGCGGTTTGCAGTATCGTTTGAGGACAGTTGAAATCAAGGATGGAACAGTGGCGTGGAAAGATTGCCGTGGTTACAGGATCCAGTGCAGGCATCGGTGCAACCATAGCTATTCAGCTAACTAACGCCGGGATGATTGTGGTTGGATTGGCCAGGCGTACTGAGCGTACGGAAGCTTTGAAAAAACAAGTGTCACCAAGCTTAAGGAATAACTTGCATGCCGCACGTTGCGATGTGAGCAAGGAGAACGAGATAGTTTCCATCTTCAAATGGATCGACGAAAAGTTTGGTGGTGTGGATGTTATAATCAATAATGCCGGCGTTGTTCGTGACACCAAATTGATAGATTTGAACAATACGCAATCTATACGTGACACATGGGAAACTAATGTCATGGGCTTAGTGCTGTGCAGCCGAGAAGCCTACCAGTCGATGAAACGAAGATCTGTTGCGGGACATATTATCAACATTAACAGCATTGTTGGCCACAGTGTTCCCTATTCAGTAGAAGCTATACTTTCATCTTACAATATGTATGCTCCTTCGAAGTATGCTGTAACTGCAATTACAGAAGTAACCCGCCAAGAGCTTCTGGGAGAAAAATCTAAAGTGAAAATTACTGTATGTTTGTTCGATTAACTGGTATAACAACAAATGGTAAACACCCTTACTATTAAATTAATCAATTTTCAGAGCATAAGTCCTGGAGCAGTGAAAACGGAGATAGCTGATTTCAGTAATGTTGAACTTCCACTACTCAATCCAGAAGACATTGCGCAAGCTGTGTTGTATGCATTATCTACCCCACCACATGTCCAGGTATCTATTTTCTTTCGCTAGGTACATTTATAGAGTTTTGAGCTTACTTACGTTCTCAAAAACGGATTAGTTTTAAGCATACTAAAAGCATTACTTGCTGTTTTCGACAAATCATGTTGCTAAGCTTTGTATTTTGTCTTATTTAGGTTCATGAGCTGATTATCAAACCAGTAGGAGAGCGATTCTAAGTAACCAGATATTGCTGCAGAATATTTGAACTACAAGTTCCAAACACCGACATAACTCAACGAACCGCCAAATTCCGCCCATTTGGATATAATTGTGATATTTTTCAAAAACATAAAAACAAAACTATAACGTTTTGATTAGGTATATTATAAAATATGTAAAACTTGCATAAGACGAGCAAGAATAAAAAGATTCCGAGGTGCATACATTTAAATTGTACCATGTTGGAAATGCTGGTCAACTACCACCCAAGAGCAGCTGTCTAGGACAGATGCTTAGCAGCGTATCTTGGTAAGGTAAATGCAGCTCGATGTACATCCGTAGTGTAGTACCGCATCTTCATCTCGTCGATCTCGTCGTCAGTAAAAATTCTAGTTGGTTCATTCAACTTGGAATTCTGAAAAAATAACAAAGAATCCTCTGATTTATGAAAATTGTGCACATTTTACTCATACTGTACCTCATTCAGACTGGCAATGAAGAATCCTATTTGACCTGTTGGATACGACGGTACCGATGCCAATCCATATCCTACCACCGGGAAATGTTTCCTGCAGTGATCCAGTGTACTTTTAATATGTTCCATATCAATCCAGAAAGTACCTCCTTGAGAGCAGATTATTCCATTCGGTCGCAACGCTTTTTTAGCCAGAGCGAAATATGATTCTTGGAACAGGGACTCGGCTGGACCAATAGGATCACTGCTATCTGTGATGATGACATCGAATTCACCCTCTCGTTGTTTCATATACTCGAATCCATCTCCGATCGTCAGCTTCAATTTAGGCGAATCAAAGCCACATGCCATAAAAGGTAGATATTTCTTGGATAATTCCACGACACGGTCATCAATTTCTACCTGGTGCACTTCCTCCACTAGTGGATGTTTCACAACTTCTCGAGCTACTCCACCATCACCACCCCCAACGATGAGAACCTTCTTGGGGTTCGGATGGCAGCATAGTGGAAGAAATGAAATCATTTCCTGGTAGGCAAACTCATCACGCTCCGTACACTGGATGATTCCGTCCAGTACCAAAACGGTTCCATGCGAATAACTGGAAATGAATTAACAATGAATCTTTGAGCTTTTGTATAATACGCAAGGAATCAAAAATATCTCCAAATTAAAAAAATGGCAAGCGATCAACTAGCCGAAATATAACGCTCTTTGTCAGAAATGGAAATCAATAATGAGATAATATTCTTTTTTTTTCATGACAACCTACCTTTGCCTTTGAAAATCACAAAATAAATATTGAAGCTCATTATAATTAGATTGTGGATAAAATATAAAACATCCAAAACAATACAGTTAAAATAGATTTCGAGACATATAACTACTGGCCCCATTCACCGCTCATGTCGTAGTGAAGATGTTATCTTTTTGAATTGTCTTTCTTTTCTGACCATTTAACAAATAATATTTATGGTTTGTAAGATATTAAGGTATTAGATATTGATTAAAAACACGCCTTTGTTATGAACTATTGGTAGTAATGTATATTTTAAGTTTATTTTTGGAGTGAGCGGTAAAGCGAACCCTTGATAGTTGTGGGTTCTTCATTCACCACTCATATGGATGTGAACAATTTTTTTTATCGGAAATAAGCTGTGAAATAAAAGTGCCGAAGGTTAAATATGATCAGCAGGCATTTTAAACGAGTGTATTAGTCGGTTAAACGCATGTTTAGAACTCATTTTGAGAATTTTTTCAACAAATTTTGACAAAATGAACAACGAATGGAGGTCAAGCTGTGAAGGGGTACCACACGGTAGTAGCAAGCGTTTTGTCTTTATCGTTGGCTGCTTTGCGTGTTTGGATTCCCTGGTAATACATTAAATTAAAATAATATACCTGTGACTGCTTTATGAATTATTTTCCATAAGCAAAAGCTTAGCCAAGAATTCTTATATTCACTTACCATGCCAGTACCATATTTGACGTGGTTCCTAATGGTTACGCACTTGTCTATTTTTAATCGCATTTCAAAAATATTAATGGAAAATAGTCTAAAATGATTGAATGCGTCAAATATGGTGCCTTCACGGTAGTGCCAAAAAGTACTACTTTTCGAAACTCTTTTGAGTGCAATAAATGTTGTATGCAAGTCGTTGCAAAATTCATTTATGAGTAGCTGTAAATCACAAATTAATAATCTTTACTGTTTTATGTAGTAACAGTTATTCATGTACGGGTAAAATTTTACTTTTTAATGGGTAGTCCAATCTTCTCTCAAAAGTGCATACTTTATAGTCATTATTGAGTATTATGCGACTACTGTGTATAATGATATTTTGTACTTGTAAGTTACAAGAAGAGGTTATAAAGTATGTGTTTGACAAATCAAACCTCTCAATTTCGCTTTCAGAGAGTCACAATTTTACTTACAAAATACTCTTACCACAGACAAACAGACATAACGCATTGTGTACTTTTCACTGTAAAACATCGTCACTAAAACACTACCGTCATTTGTTGAATACACTGTAGTGGCACTACTTTGAATAGATGGCGGTAGTGTGAAACGTCAAACGCAAGAAAATTGACTATGCGCGCCACATGTGGTGGCACTACCAACTAACAAACATTTAAATTGACCGTTAAATGCGTGTTTGATAAAAAACATACAAGTGTTATGTCTGTTAGTCTGTTCTCTTACCTTACGAGTGATGTAAAGGTGGTCAAGAACCAGGACTGCTTCCACTCATTTGCTACAAAAAAATGATTTTCTGAATTTTTGAATCATTATAAAGCCTAATGATTTCATAATTCCGAAAAACAATTTTTTATAGCAAGTGATGTGAAGCAACCCTGCAAGTTCACAAATGCCTCCCCAAATTGATTTCATACGCAAGTGATCTGAATTTCGCGAATAAACACGAGGAGGATTTATTTATAACAAAACTTGCCATATACAATCGTCATGGCGTGCAATTTATATACAAGACTATGCTGGAGGTGGCTGGGTTCGATTCCCGGTCCGGTTTACGAATTGTTTCGGGTTGGAAAACTTGTCGACTTTCCTGGGCATAGAGTATGATTGTGCCACACAAAATACTAATGCAAAAATGGTACTGGCATCGAAAGCTCTCAATTTAACTGTGGAAGTGCATCTAGAACACTAACTTGAGAGCACGCAATAAGCTAATATGCGATAAGCAATATAATAAGTTTTAAATGCGACGAACGAGAAGAAGAAGAAGTTACCGAAATTCCTTCTGTATTATTTGCAACAATTGTTTTTTGTTTGTTGGGCCTGTCTCAACTACCTGTTTTGCCGGAGGACCATCGTGCATAGTTCTGTCTATAGTTCCACACTGGCACGAGGACGATGATCAGCCGCCCCTAACATGGAGAACAGACACTGTTTTGAGTTGCCTCTAACATCGAGAACAGGCGCTCGGATCAAGCTGCACACTCCGGAGAAGGATTTTTTTTTCGATTTAGTTGCCACAAAATTTTGTCTAGCACTGAAGGTTATGGTATGGTGGCATTATTTTTAAGGGTAGTTTTTATGTGTTCACTCCCTTCGATTTTTTTTAGCAATCAGGAAAAATGTTTAAAATATTTGAATATTCAACATAAACGTATCAAATTTTCACAGCTCAAAACTTTGAATAAGTAAATCAAATATTGTATTTTGCATTTCTAACTGGACTCGTCAAAGTCGCTTATAAAAGTACGCTTTTACGTTGCATTATTTTGGTGTCTTCTGTGCACTTATTCCTTATGAACCAAGGAAAAGTGCACGGACACCAATACGATTTTACGTAAAAACGAACTTTTATTGGTGCTATTTCGTTTGAACTTTTGTTCAGTTTGATTTTAAGTTGAAATCTCAGTTAAGGGACACTTTTTTCCCTTGATTTGTTTTCCGTGCTTAGCACCAATGCTATCGACGCCAGGGAGGCAGCCCAGACACTTGGACCCTACCTATCGACCCATCAACTCATGAACCGGAGACCAACGGCTTTACTTCCCTTCCGAAGGAAGGCGTGATCAGATATGTTATGCCTCAGAAACATCCCGGCGGCGCCGACTGGGATTGAGTATGAAAACCCGAAATTAGCTAACCATAACGAAATCTTCGCCTCCTTAACATCTATAAAGAAAAAATCTCATAATTTAGAAAAACGTGTGGTTCTGTAAGACTTCTGAATTCAAAATTTCGCTTAATGTTAGAACTATCCATAATCATAAATTTAGTTCTGACCAATGTTTGTCTTGTCCTGATAAAGGGTTCATGTACATGTTTGACTAAATAAATTACAATTACAATCAGATTCAGTGAATACTGTATTCAACAGAAGGATCTGGAAAACAAAAACGTGTTTAATTTTCATAATGCTGTTAAGAGCCAAAACATAAAAGTTTTGTGAAATTTCGAAAAATTCCGTCTTTACCCTTAATATATTACCAAAGTAACCTCACCGAGAGTTAAAGTTTGCTCTGTCCCACTTCTTCCTATGTGATCTTGTTCAGTGGGGATACGCAAAAGACCAGTTTGTCCTAACACTCACTATCAGGCACCCTAGAACGCCGAAAACCATCTACACAAACCCATACAAAGCTTGATAACTGGAAAGGTTCATGTAAAAGTTTTAGTTGGAAGAAAGATTTTTGATATTGTGATCTACAAATGCTCAACGTCAATGAACAAAATAAAATAATGATATCGTCCAACTCTCTGATTTTTGTCTAAAATTACGGATAACTTAGGAAAAATTGGAAATAAGCCCCATTGTTTTATTTGAAGCTGAAATAAGTACCTATACATATTTAATAAAATTTACTACTTTTCAATCTCAATGTAAATGTGTACAACCCGGCACTATCACTCATTATAGCAGCTTATCAAAAAATAATGTCAGTACTTGACCCACAAAATATAGAGCCACGTGTTTCCAAAACTCCTTATAAAAAGAATCAAACAAAAGAAATACTTACGTGTCAAGCAGCTTGATGTCCTGGAATCGGGAGCGTTCTTCGTGGAGAACTTTTTTCACCTTCAGAGAAAAACATTGATTTGGCCATAGCTGTTCAGATATTTCGCTGAACCATTCGGAAGGATTCATTTTGCAGGGAGCTGTATAAACATAGGAAAACATTTAAATTTATTGCAATTAAGCGGTGATCTTCTTTTACTCACGTAATTAAGATAATTATGGGATGAGCAAAAACAGGAATCGCTGGTAAACACGAAATTGACAACTACAGAGCACTGATAGTGAACAAGAACAGCGCTAATCAATCGTTGAAACAGGTTGAAAGTAAACTGGCGACTGGCGATGCGAACCGAACTAACTCGGTTTCAGTTCGATGCAGTGATATGTCAGTGCTCGTGCTTGT